TCATAATAGTTATAACCGACCACAGCCTGAATCAAAGACGCATCTGTAAAGGCGCGTTCTGCCTCCAGTAGGTGACCCTCGCACTCCAGCATTTCACCCTTATCGGCGAGATAGCAGGCTCGCCAGGCTTCTCTTTCGTCGTGAGTGAGTTCTTCACACTGCGTGAGGGCTTCGCCAAGCCGCTGTAACACCTCCTTGGCACGCGTGAGGTGGCCCGTGCGCAGGAGACTCATCGCCAGAAGATGGAGAAGTGTGCATTTATCAAGAAGACCAGTCTGCGCTTCACTGAGAAGCAACTGCTCCACCAGTGCCGCACAACGGTCGTACTGCTCCAATTGAAAGAGCTGCTGTGCACCGTGCACGCCACTAGAACCGGTGTGGCTCACACCACTCATCTGCTAGCATCCAGAATGCAACCCTCCACCCTTTAAGAAAGCAACACCCAATGAAAAAAAAAAAAAAGAAACACAATCTTGAAAGGGACGCTCGCCCGACAGCCTTCCTCACCTCCGTACTCTTTGGAACAGTGAAGTTATTTAGACGACAAGATGCTCGCAGACACACCGGGTTCAATGATCTCGTTTTTTTTTCTTTTTGGTTAATAATCATGAGCTGATGTGGAGACGCACCCATCGCTCATTCACCCTTTTGGAGTTAGAATCAAGCGGGACAGACGGCTAATCAAGCACATGCCTGCGCGGAGGCAAATTCGCGTACGTGCTTCCGTGCGGCTACGCAGTGCCGTCCTCCTTTGCTTCCGCCGCCCGTCGCCGGTGCGTTGCCAGCGACTCATGCACCTTATAGCTTTGTGTTGTGACGGCCTCCTGGCAAATCGTACAGGTGGAGTGCACAATATCAAATCCACTCTCAAAGAATGCGTTGCCCGCCGCCGCCTCGCGCCGCTTCTGCTCTTCAGACACGACCGTCACCGGCCCAATGAAGGACGGCATCTTCTGCACCAACTTGCCAAATTGAGTATACGTCGGTCCAGTGGCCATCGGCGAGCCCAGACAGCTCTGGTGGCCCTCGCTCTGCAGGTGGTTCGTCACGCTGACCTGATGCGGCGCCAGAAACAGGCGGCAGTGGCGACAGAATAGCATCGCGCCGGGGCTCTGACTGACGAGGTGCTGTGGCATAATAGGAGAAGCTGCCGCGCCGTTCTTGCGACTGGCAACTGGTTGAGGTGCGCTGGCCACCGCCGCCCTGCTGCTCGTCGTCACGCCCTCCTTGTCTTCGACCACCTCAGCCACCGCCACTGCCGCCAGCGTTTGAGGATGGACGGGCTCGGAAACACCCCTCCGCACATCGCCACCGCCCGTGAGGCAACCCAGCGCGCTCTCTGGCACCCCCGGGTTCGGCGGGGGGATAACGACGTTGGTTGTGCCGTCATCGGCCGGCCTCATGTTCTGCACATATGCCTGCTGAAATAATGGTGGCAGCGGTGGAGGTGTTGGCGACGATGCTGCTGCTGCTGCTGCTGGTATAATCGATGCTGTTATAGGGGCAATACTGCCTGATGCCGCCATATCCACCCGTAGCGGGGGGAGCGGCGGCCGCACGTATTCTCCTGTACCGCTGCCGCTACAACCGCTTCTCGAACTCCGCGGTGGCGTTGAGTCACGGCCTCCATGATGCTTATCTGAGTCGTACGTTTTTCTAGTATCACTGCTTCTGCTGCTTACACGGTCCGACAAATCATGGAAGTTATACCCACGCCTCTTAGCCTCGACATGCACAACACGGAGCTTGTTCTGTAGAGCTTGCACCTCCTGCTTTCGGAGGTCCAACTGCTGCGTGCGCGTCTCCAAGTCTCGCTGGCACTGCTGAGCCTGCTGGCGCAGATCTTCCAGGGCGCAGCGCAACTCTGCGTTCTCCGCCAGCACCTTTCCGTCCACCACAGCACTCACAGGGACCGCCGGTGACACCGTTGTTGCTATTGATGGTTCTGGTGCCTCACCAGAAACGTAGCGCCGTGCCACACGCATGACGTGGTCAAGCAGAATAGGCCCATCACCACTCATCCTTACGCAGGTGCCGGGAAGACAGCCGGGTGGCTGGTCCCCTGCGATGGTAGCGTACAACACACGGCAAGACAGCTGCGTCCCGGGCACCGCTCTAGAGTTGCTGCTTGTCATTACAGGAGATCAAACAACAATGCCTGACACACCTATGTAATTCTATTCCTTCCATAAACCGAGAACAAGAGAGAGAGAGATAATATGAGAAGAGAGAAAAACCGATGTAGGCTTCAATGATGCATAAATCGTCGCAATGTACCCACACCATGAGAGCTTCCTAGGCCATACCAAATACACAAGCTCAGACGAACATATATATATATATATATATATANACATACATACATACATACATACATGTATATATATATATCTATATGTATATATCTACGCATAATCGATCTTCAGTAACATAGCCAAAACCGAACGACTCAAACGTACCACTCTTCATAAAAAAAAAGCAGTAACAATAACAAGTGTTACACACAAAAAAAGCAAACAACAACAACAACAACAAAACATTCTTTATGCTCTTTCTTACACCTGTCACTCATCGGCGAAAGGAATAACACACTTCTTTCCGCCCCACTCCAGGACGTAATGCCCGTCACTGTCAAGCTCCTCGCAGACAAAGTCAAAGCCCAACTTTAACCCCACCTGCGCACCCACCAAGCCGCGCGGATCAGCGAGCGGAGCACCGCGCCGAAGTTTCTTCAGCGTTGTAATGGGGTGCAGCAGCTTCCCCTCACGCGTGACGGTCAGCGCGGCTGGCTGAAGTGGCTCCTGCAGCGACTCGCCAAAAAGGAGAATTCCACTCAACTCGTTGCAAACCGTGCGGTTAAAACTGTAGTCGGTAAAAACAACCGGAGCATCCTGCACCTTAAGAAAATTCATCTCCTTGCCACAAATACTCACGTACGGAAAGTGATGAAGGAACTCCTGCGGCCACAGAACAGTGCCGTCGTCCAAGCACACCTCCTCCGACTCACTGCCAGGTTCCGTGAAGTTGGCCAAGCTGCTGTACTGCAGGCGCAGGTAGAAGAAGTCAAGAAACGCCCGGTCGCGTAGGTGCGTTGGCCCTGACGGGATGCGCGTGCCCTCAACGAGCCCTTTTATGTCGAACACATGGAAGAGGTGACCGCGCTCGTTAAGGTAGTAGAAGTAGCGGCGCACCACGGCTGCCATTGTGAGACGCCCCTCCCCTTCCCTCAACACCACACACACACACACGACACAGTCTTTGAACGGAGAGAAGAATAACAGCACGGTGGGGTGCGGCGAGGGCGCCCAGTGCATGTGTGCCTGCGCCTGCCAGCATACACACAGTGAAGACTACACATGGAGTAGCATCTCAACAATGACAGTAATGCACGGCAGGCCGTTATACTCACAACAGAAATAAACAAAAGGCATAACAACAAGAAAGCCCCACACGGCTTCGTAGAAAGGGTAATACGCACTTGGAAGTTTCTCATATTTGGTCAAACTGAAAGCGAAGAAAACGATTCACTCTTCTTTTCCTCGCTAAAACAAAACCATTACGCCGGAGACAACCGAGGCGAGTATCTGCACGAACCACGATGCCAACAAAAGGCCAAACCCCACACCATACCCGTAGGAGTCGCCAATGGCTTTGTTCCGCTTCTTATCACACATGGGCTCATTGTATACGTTCGCAATGCAGGCCCAGCACACCATAAGTGTTAAAACGATGAGCATGCTCAACAGAAAAAGAATCATATTTGACAGCCGCATTTTACAGAAGAGTGAAAGTGCAGCAAGAGCACTATTTATGAGTGCGAGAAATATGCTGATGATGGCAAAGGCGGCTGCCGTGCTTATCGTGTCACGCCTCTGTTTGCATGACCACCTCGTTCGTATCGTTTCACTGCCACAGTCCGGCTTGTAGCCCCACATAGTGTAGCAGGCGTCCGAGAAGAGCGACCGGTAGATGTCTAGCGGTGTGGCAATTAGAACAGCAAGAAAAACAATGGCCTGAAGAATCAGGAATATGAGGTGCTTCGTTATGCTAAAAGCGACGCACATGTTGCCGCAGAAACGTCGAGTGTTATACTTCACTTTAGCCTATCGGCTCCTTTTTGCCTTGCTGTGCACAGCACGACAACGACGAGAGAGAGAGAG